ACTCTGCCTGGTTCAGCCGCGCCCCCTGGGCTAGGCGAGTTAGCGGACGGCAGCGGAACACTCAGGCACGTTGCACTGGGGCCCAAAGAAACTTCATTTACTTTTCAGATGGATGTGAGTCACCTAGAGGCCATCCCCAGCTGGACACGAAAGGCAGGAACAGAAGCAGAAGCTCACGGTGTGTCTGACCGTGGTGCCTGGAGAGACGCGGACAGTAGGAATGACCAGGCGGCCGGCGGGAGCCTTAAGGCCCCTGCTGGGGCCGGACACCAGGCCCACGGAGAGCAGGGCAAGGAGCAGGCAGAGTTTGATAAGGCGGTGCAGCTGCAGAGAATGGTAGACCAAAGGTCGGTGATTTCGGATGAAAAGAAAGTTGCCCTCCTCTATCTAGACAATGAGGAGGAGGAGAATGATGGGCATTGGTTTTGATAAACGGAAATATTTTATTTTAAATGGCATCTTATTTGGTAACATACCAACATACAAAGGCCTTTACTGATTTCAAGGAGTGGGAGGAGGCTCACTTGTAGAACCTCCCCCTTCTTTACTTACTTTAAAGAGTTCTCCAAGCAGTGTCAATTTACTTTATAGTTAATCTATAAAGGTTTCAAATTAATTCATGCCTTAAAAGGCATGGGAATTTTGTTTTTGACTGGGGACTTTTACAAAACACTTTTTTTTTTTTCCTGGAGTTTTCTCTCCCCTTCTGCAGACAGTTTCTACCAGTTTTGCCCCTGGTCACAGACATGGCTTGCATCTGCTTGAAACTATAATTATCTGTAGGCAAGATGCCTAAACATTAACTAGATTAGAGTAACAATATTAATATATTGAAGAGTAAATTTTGTTTGCATGTGCTAATATGAAATAATAAACTAACATTTTAAGGGAAAAATAAATACATTTTTTTCTCTTTCCAAAGTCTTTTCAAAAAGAGATCCTAGGAAATAAGCAGACTGCTTATGTTAAGAAAGTTTTGCTAAATGACTTCATCTTTAGGAAGAAGTTGTCATATAGCGTTAAATTCATTTAAAGACTTGAATGAATTGCTGTTATATGCAGAACTTTAAAAAAATATAGTATTTAATTTATGGAGAGGACAGCTATAGTATATTGTGATATTTCAAATTATGTTTGCACAGGCTCCCCCGCACTGGATCTGTGGGCAGGGGAGGTGATTATTGGGAATCGCTGATGGTACCATTTCTTAACGGCACCATGTCGTTAAGTAGTGCACAGCCCGAGTACTCCTTTCCGTTACAGCCTACGTTCTGGAGTAGCCAGCTCCTATCAGACTGAGTACACTCGAGCTTCTATGCATCCTAACCTTAGCACCCAGACACTTAATTCCACGGGCGGGAGGTAGACCCCAAAGACAATGATGAGGACGTTGATGCTCAGACTGTATCTGGACTGGCATGTGGGTCGTGGGCAGGAGAATTGGAAGTGCAAGGTGGACTGTGCCTCCCAGAGAAGCCTTTCTCCACCCACTGCTTGCAGGGTGGAGGCCTTGCTGAGCTCAGAGAGTGAAAGATGAAAAAGCAACAACCAAGAACCAACCTCGCGGAAGCTTTTTTGCACTTTGAACAGAAATCATTACAGTTGGGCTGATTTGTCCACTTATACTACGTTAAGTAGAATAAGATGTTTTGGGGAGGGAACTGGGTGTCTGTCCTGCAGCCCAGCACTGAGACACTTAAGAGGGGCCCTGGAGGGCGACTAAGGCCATCATGCTCATGGGCCACAGAACATGGACCTGCAGGTACACACCACTGAGTTTAAGATATTAGGATGAGTGTGCTCTGTTGGATTCATTTTATTTTACACATGGGTATTGTTTTTAAAGCTTCCATCTTTAAAGGCATAGATCACACAAAAGTAGTATCTTTAGCCCGCAGCATTGTTTTGATTCAGGCTAGTTTCTTTCACATAATGTCTGAACTATACTTTCTATAACACAGTATATCATAGAACTGACTGTAGTGCTCTGAGGAGTAGGATCTGAGGTTAACGCCACCTTCAGGTAGGTTGTGATGACAGCATTGGAGGGTCTTCCCTTGGATTCACAGGGTGGCCCTTGGACCCTCAGGGTGCACGACTCCTCAGGTCCCGGTAGTGGCTAGAGCAGGTAGTTTATTGAGAGTGCATTTTCATAATCGATAAGCGGAGGAGAAATGCAGCACAGCTTTCAAGATGATCTATTTTTAAAACACCATGAATCGGGGGGTAGAAAGAAAGTTGATTTGAATTGCAAGTTTAAACCTTCGTTACCCATCTGCCAAGTGAACTAGTGATTGTCAGATTGGTATGGAGGTGACTGCTTTGCAAAGATTTGTCATTTCTAAGACAGTCAAAGATGTGCTGATTTTATTTTAGCTGTAATTGGTAATGGTGTTTGTATAAATGATTGATGAGAATTTGGTCAAGGTGACAGCCTCCTGTTTGATGGCAACACAGACTGACGAGGAATCTATTATGAATCTAAGTGGGCTGAATTTGAAGTCAGTGTCTTAGCTTATAACCTTGCGAATGGATGCTGATGGGAACAGGTTATTCATACCGTGACCCACTTCTGTTTACTTTGGAAAATAAATATCTTACATCTTAATTTTCATCTCTAAGTTGTAAGGCATTGCTTCAAGAAGTATTTACCAGAATGGAATCAGGAGCTGTCGTTGGTTACCAAGTCTCAGAATCGCCCTGGAGAGAATGTGCTCTCAACATTGTGACAGGTCACCCAGAACGTCTGTGTTCTTTAAAACCAGTCAGTCCGGCGGCAAGAGAAATCAACTTTGAGGTTGGACGAGGCAGGAACACAACCAGTCTTTTCCTATTTATTGTTGTGTAGACAAAACAGTCTTCACTGAATGTTTCTCAACTCCCCGCTGGTTGTTTTGATATTGTTTGTTTAAGATGTATATTTAGAATGGAATCATCTAAGAAGCTGATTTTGTTAACCTCCTGTTCCCCACAAAGGGAAATGTCACAAGAATGTATAAAAATAAAAATCTGAGAGAAAAAATCACATTGTTCCTAAAGAGAATATTTTCCAGTAGATTTTGGTGTGGTTTCTTTTAAACTTTAAAGAATCTGTGTGTTTACATGCATGTTTTAAGGGTAGCACAAAATTACTGGGGAGAACATATATGAACAGTTCCAGTCCCCTAATTCCTCACTTGAATCAGAACTTGATAGTGTCAGCACAGAGCTAGAATGCATGGCACAGCAGAAACCAGTTGGCTTGCATTCAAACATATACTGAACAGTTTGTGGTAAAAATGTCCTCACAGCCTGGAGGACCAGTGCCAGTAGGACATGACCAGCCACCCCATTTTGCCTGAGATGAGGGTTTCCTGGGATATAAGACTTTGAGTGCTAAAATCAGGACTGTCCTGGGCATATAACAGGATAGTTGGTTACTGTGTAAGTGCAAATTGGAAGGTTAGTTAATCATGGCCATTTCTTAGGTGCTTGAAAAAATTAAGGTAGGTTGAGACATCTTTACCTGTTCATAATCTTTTAGCTTTTTACCAGAAAATACAAAAACATGAATAGCTGCAGTTTTCCTCTCTTGTTAACAGATTTAATAGATGGGAGACATTTGGTGGAATATTCCCAAATATATTCTTTCCTGGGGTGGGAGTAGGGGATTACATTTTAAAAATGTATTTCAGTTTCTATGATTCTAGTCCTCCAAGTAATACAGAAAGGAAGAAGTTAACAGATCAGAATTCACATTTCTTTAAAAAACCCACCATAGAATCTTAGTTTAGGCTGCTGCAACACAAAACAATAGCCCCGCTGGGTTAAACAACAAACATTTCTCGGAGTTTGGGAGGCTGTGAAGTCTCAAAGGTGAGGGCTCTCTACCTGGCTTGCAGACAGCTTCCTTCTAGCTGTGTCCTCACATGGTGGAGAGAGATGCTCTCTTGTCTCTCTTATAAAGGCAATAATCAGGGTTTTCCTCCTAAGACCGTCACACTGGGGATCAGGGCCTCCATATGAAGTGGGGGAGGGGGACACAAACATTCAGTCCACAGCAGATACCACTTATGTTTTCAACTACCCAAGACATTCAGTGAGTAATGACCGCATCTCACACCTCTTTTGCACTTTACCCTCATCTCATGGGGCCGGGACTTATGGGTACTGGCAGGGATGGCCTGTGTGGTCAGCTGTCACGCTCCTGAGGAAGACAAGGTTCCCTGCCTGCCCCCACCTTGTCATGGTTCTTTTTATTTCCCCCATTTTTGAGGTGGTGCCCTGCACAAATAGATCCAAGGTGGTTTAGGTTTCCCACTGGGGCCGGAGGGGAAGGGCCCTCTTAGCACCAGCCTGCAGCCTCGCTGGCCGGGGTGCATGGGACGTAAGGAAGAGGATGACCTCGTTCCAGTGCTGGATCTCCTCTTTGGCAGTGTGGAGAATGGTGCCCAAAGCTTCCTGCTTGACTTCGCTATCTTCACGCAACTATGGCCTCCCCACCTGCCAGGAGGCTGAAGACCACTGTGGACATGACACCAGGTCTGTGCTCACTCAAGAAGCAGCTCTAGGGTGGTGGCTGTGTTTGTCCCGCCTTAGAGCAGAGGCCACAGGAGGAATGCAAAGCGGTGGGGAGTCAGCACCCTCCCTGCAGCCTCCTGTTTTTGGAAGCCTCACTCCTGCTTGCTTTTCTTCCCAGTCCCCTGCACTTGCCTCGCCTGGCCCCTGAGCCAAGCTAGGAGCACTGGGCACCTGCCCTGTTGTACTTGGCTCTTTTCGTTCGCAGGTGCTACCACTGCCACCCACCGATCCCGCCAGCATTCGTTCAATACCCAGTGCCATGCTGGATGGCAAGTCTGTGTCCCCCGTTCTTAGCACATGCCTGGTATATGCTAAGCACCCAAGAAAAAATTCAGAGTGACCGAGCACGGAAAGGGAGGAAGCCGTCTCCGAGCCCCTTTTCAGGCTCTGAGGAACTCTGAGGCAGGCTTCATTTTAAAAACACATACTGATACCAGCAGTTTCAAGTTTCCCTTTATTAGCATCTCATTCTCATTTTATTCTCAATCCTTATTGGCTTCCTGTAAGAAAGGGCTTTTTCTAGAATTTTACTGTTCTAAATCTGACTCCAGACCCATGTGAGGAACTATGTGTACAATCAAATGCCAAGTCTACTTTCCTACACAACTTTTTGAAGAGAAGTCTTTCAGCCACAGGAGAGCTGATGGGTAAAAATTCTTGTTGGCAAGAATAACCACTTAGGTGATTAAAAATAAAAATGCTTTATAAAAGTGCCAGATCACCCTGAAGGGCATCCACTATCAAAAGTATGGCCCATGAGAGGTTTATGGTATCCCTGTTGCATGCTGGAACAAATGGTTGGCCTTGAAAATCTGTACCCTGACTGTTGAATTCCATCTTGTAGTTGGAGAAAGATTTGTACAGCACCCTAAATGGCAGTGCCCAGTCCTGCCCAAAGCCTGCTTTAGGGCGGGGCGTCTCAGTCTGCTGCGTTGGGCCTGGCTTTCCCCAGCATGGTGTGCCGAGGGATGATGGTGCCGAAGGCCACTTTGGCTTTTTCAGCCTGCCCTGGCTTCATGGTGACCTCAGGGGCCCTGCAAACAAGCAGAGGGTGGAGTGAGTACGGCGCCCTCCAGCCCTCCACACGGTTTCCGCCAAGCCTTTGCTGCTGGCAGGCAGTTGCCGAGACACATTTCATGAGAGGCCTCAGGAGGGGATGTGAGTGAGAGGAGAATCATGGCACAAGAGCATAAAACCCCAAATGTTCTTCTCCCAGCTTTCTTTTTCTTTTGAGACAGAGTCTCAGTCTGTTGCCCAGGTTGCAGTGCCGTGGCATCAGCCTAGCTCACAGCAACCTCCAACTCCTGGACTCAAGCAATTCTGCCTCAGCCTCCCAAGTCGCTGGGATTACAGGCATGAGCCACCAAGCCTGGCTAATTTTTTTCTATATGTTTTTAGTTGTCCAGCTTATTTCTTTCTATTTTTTAGTAGAGACGGGGGTCTTGCTCTTGCTCAGGCTGGTCTCGAACTCCTGAGCTCAAAGGATCCACCACGCCTGGCCTCCCATCGTTCAATTCCTTGTGACCATGGTCATGGAGCTGAGGCAATGAGCCCTGAGTTGACTCAGGGAGCAGCACATGAGCAAAGAGGACTGTCAAGGCTGGGCTGGAGGACTCCTGGTTGGCTTCCCTTCCCTGCTCGAAAGGGGCATGGCACCCCCACCGGCTGGGCTCGGTCTCTGCTCCAGGCCGCCACCCCGCTTCCCTAAGCAAGGGCTTGACAGTCAGCCCAGAGACTCTTGGCCGACCCAGCTCTGTGAGGGGGCAGCCTCCACAGCAGGAGCTGAGAGAGATGTGGGGGCCGGCCCTCAGGTGAAGTCAGTGGACTCTGCAGCTCGAGTCCTGACAGGACAGCAGGCCAGGCCAGTGCTCTGGGCCCTCCCACTCCCACGGGTGCCCTAACCTGCAGTGGGGGCTGGTCTGCGGGAGGACGGAATCCAGCCTGCGTTTCTGACACTATTCAAGAGCAAACACCTCTTTACTACCTGGGCAAGGAGGATATTTACAACTGGGTTTTCAAAGGAACTGGTCTTGCATTTAACTGCAAATTATGGGAAGTCAGTTTGTAAAACTTCCCATTCTAGATTCCTCTGAGATTCTGAATGGAAAAGGAATGAGCTGCTAAGAGGAGGTGTGGGGGAAAACCAACTCACTTAGACAGGACGTCCATGGTCTGCTGGGTGGCCAGAGTCCTCCTGTCCAGCGCTCCGTATAAGAGGGTCTGAATCTGAAGACACTGCGGAACACCAAGTAGTGATCATGAGGGCATGGAAATGTCACCGGGAACATTTTGCAGGAAAATAAAGTCTCCCTTGAATGAGAGAAAAAAATACGTCATTCTTTGACCCATGTTGTGACAGAATTCGTGCATTCTCGGGGTTTCTCCTAGGGACAGTCTGACCTTTGCTTTGGATGTTCTGAGGGATCCAGAAAATAAATGCACAGTTTTAGCGCTATTTCATAAAACTCTCTGTGGCCATCTGTATGCAAAAGTATATTTAAAAGCAGTATTTTTTAAAAAGTAAAGGCAAGGACCTTGGTACTGCCCAGAGGATAGTCTCTACTTTCTATTTTTAAATGGCCTTTGCTTTAGCCCTAAACAGTTCTTTTAAAAAATAGTTTTGTTTTTTATAAACAAATGTTTTATTTTTATGTGGGCTTTCTACACTCATTAGTACACAGCAATTTCTTAGTTATTAAGAGATAAATATTGAGCTTTTGGATTATCCAGAGGCTTGATTTTTCCCTTTTGGCTTGATTTCTCCCTTTTTAAGTCTTGCCATTTGATTGCTTGTGCTAGGCCAGGCCAAACTCAAGGAGAGGATAAAGATTAACGTTTGCCAAAAATGGCCAAAATAATCTTGAGGAAGAATGAGGTGGAGGAACGTGCTTTACTGGATTCCAAGACCTTTTATAAAACTATAGTAATTAAGGTAGTGTGGTTTTTACCCAGGGGAACAGGGCAGAGAGCCCAAGACTTGAAAGAGGACAGACTGGCCTTGCAGGACTGGTCAGGAAGAGTGGCTGGTCAATAAATGGTCCCTGCGGACAGGGATCACTGGTTTTCCAAATGGATGAAAACAGATCACTACCCCATATCAAACATACCGAACCTCATACCGAAATTAATCCCAGCAAGATTTGAAGAACTAAGTGTGAAATGCAAAACTTGGAGGTTTTAGATGAAAATATTAGAGAATATTATTATGATCTTGAAGTAGGGAAGCATTTCTTAGACAAGATCTGGACAAACCAAAAGTAAAAGACTGATAAAATGTGACTATATGAAAACTCAAAACATCTGTGCACCAAAACTCACCATAAGCAAAGTACAAAGACTATAGAAAGATATTTGCAATGCTGAACTGAGAAAGGTTTAACGTTCAGTGTACATAAAGAACTCCCATAAGATAATGAGAAAAAAATAAAACAAAGTAACCTCTCAACAGGAAAATGATCAAAAGATATAAACATATTATTCAAAGAGTTGAAAACTGACCAATAAATTTACTTCATCTCACTAATAATCAGAATTGCAAACTAAAATTTTAATGAGGTAGGTACCACTTTACCTGTCAGATTGCAAAAGTTATACTCTGATGATACCAACTTTTGTCAAATATACAATGCAACAAGAACTCTTTTATATATTGATAGTGAGTGTTAAAAATGGTATAAATCCTTTGTAGGACAATTTAGCAATATCTAGTAAAGAAGATATAAATTGTGATACATATGTATGTATCATATGTAGGTGATATCATATAAATGTTTGATATGTGTGTGTGTGTAGGTACCCACACCGATGAATCTCATGATTATAAAATCAAGGGGAAAAAGAAACTGGCAGATGAATGTATGTAATATATACATGAAGTTTTAAAACATGTGGAACAAAACCGTAGTAAAATAAGAAAAGCATGGGAACAATAAGCAATTCAGGATAGCAGTTATCTGGGGACTCCAACTGTATCTGTCGTGTTTTACTTCTTACACTGAACAGTGAGTTCAAAGTTGTTTGCTATACTATCCATACTTTTTTTGCATATCTTCAATATTTCATAATATATTTTTAAAAGATGGAATTAATGTTTCTGGGTGATAACAGCTTGAGTCAAAGTTTGAGGGTTTGGGGACTTAGTACTGAAGACTGTTTATTCATTTTGATGTGCCAACCATTTTTAGGTCTTCAAGAAAATTAAAATGCAAGCAGCCAAAGGGCTTTGTCTTTATAAGCTGTGGAAAATATCAAAACTGTCTGAATGTTTCAGTCTGAGGAATTGAGAATGTAGTTCTGGAATCTGAGAATGTGGTTGTCTTTTGGAGGAAGGAAATAGACAAGACTGACAGGATTTTAAGTATTCATTCACTATTTCTCAGTTGAATTATCTAGCACGAAGAAGTAGTAAAACTCTATTATTTTATTTAGCACAAAATTCAAATTCAGCAAAGGCAAGGATCCCAGCCCCTCCACCCAACAAGCCCCTGCCTTTCTAAATCTGTACCGGGGTCTTGGCCTGGCTGAAGCGAGCTGCTCATTCCACGGGATTGTGGTGACCCTGGACATTTAGGAACTTTGAGAAAGCTCTACTGCTTTGAGGGGAGGGGGTAGGGACGAGTTTTCGACACCCGTGATACTTGATGGAAACCCTTCCAGCACCCTGCTTGGGTTACAGCTCTTGGAAGCCGGGGTACATCGCCCCATTAATGAGGCAAGATTCACTCCACACAGGGCCTGGCAGAGGCAGAGGTGCTCAGAGAGGGACAGTGAGCAGGAGAGGCAACCTGCTTCCCCTCACTCCCTGTCAGCAAGTGAGAAGCTCTCTCTCTAACGCTTCTTGCCAGAACAGACTTCATTTTCTCCTCCATGCCCAGAAATACCTACACTCAGTATAAAAGATCAGGGCTAATTTTAAAGCCACCCAAACCTCCCTGTTTACATATTTATGAGTGCCTCCGACGCAGCTCATTTTGAGAGGAGCTGATGTCGACATGGCTTGGTGTTAATTCATTCGCTGTGGCATTAGGATTTTACTGACATGATAACAATTAGTGGAGACAGTCTGAGGTCTCCGTTCACTCTGTCTTAACAGATGGCCTTTCAAATCTAAGGCTGGGGAGGAATTTCCATCCTACCCCTTTGGTGATTGAAGCTTCTCCTCCCTGGCCCCTCATTCTCTAGGGAAAGAGATATCAATTGGCTGAATATTCACAAATTCCTAGGAGGAATGAGAAGGCAATTGGTAATGTTTATGCAAATTCTCAGTGGTTCTACTAAACACCCCTATTTTCTTCCAGACCTTGTATGCTGGTTGTTTTCACCAGGGATATCAGGTTAGTAAAGAGACTGGAGTTAGGAGAGAGAATCATGGTTGGTTCAAGTGACCCTTTTTAATAATCAAGCCTGGGCTGGGAGTGGTGGCTCACACCTATGATCCCAGCACTTTGGGAGGCTGAGGTAGGAGGATTGCTTGAGACCAGCCTGGGCAACATAGTGAGAACCCGTCTCTACAAAGAAATACAAAAATTAGCTGGGCATGGTAGGGCATGCCTGTAGTCACAGCTACTCTGGAGGCTGAGGCAGGAGGATTGCTTGAGCCCAGGAGTTTGAGGCTGCATGAGCTGTGATCATGACACTGCACTTTACGTGGGCAACAGAGTGAGACCTTGTCTCTTAAAAAAAAAAAAATGAAGCCCTAGAGAGGTGAGTCCCATCCCCATCCTACCCTAGACCCCAGTTAAGACCCTTCTCTTTCTGGCATTAATAGATATTTCCCCCTAAGACTACTTATCCTTACTAAGGAGATTTGCCTGCAATTCGAGCAGAAATCAGAAGTGATGCAAAGGGGTGTCAACTAGGAGACAGAAACAGATCTTCAGCCCCTCCCTAATTCCTTTAGGATTCTAGTGCCCAAGGAGGCAAGAGCAGGCACCAAGGCAGGAGAAAATGGTTCATCCATTAACTGAACTACTCTTCAAAAGATACTTTTTAAAATAGCAAAAGTAACCAATTACAGAATTCCATTAGAAAATGTTTTCTATAGCTGTGTATTTATCTAAGAAACATAAATTGAATTTTCCGGTGTTCTGCTGCTCTTAGCTAAATTTACTTAAGCATTTTTGTGTGAAGCAGGTATTTCAATTCTTTTGTTAAAAACATAGGTATTGACAGAGATGAAGTCAATAAATGTTAATTGAACCCACTGGGAGCCAGGCTTTGTAAACATCTCGCTGAGCTAAGTAAAGAACTCGCCAAACCTTGACATTAGAACATTCTCCACCATAAATAAAGGTATTATGTGCTGTCCAGATTCTTCCAAGAGGCCATGGGCACTCCTCTTTGAAATCAGCCACTAAAGAGTATTTCTTACTTTTCTTTAAAGTGAACAATAAACTGAAATTCTGAGTATCTAGGCGAATTTTAGGGAGCCATTACATTGCTGCTATTCTCTTTGATTTTATAAGCAAGGGTTGTGAGAAGTCAGTTGTGTTTCTATTATTCCTTAAATAGCAAACAGGGAGCTTTTCCTTCCCTTGCAGGAAGGGAAAAGGCAATGTCTGCTTTTATACTAGCCTGCAGGCTGTCCCCACATGGGGGGCCATGTTTGTCTTGCTCATCTTTGTGTTCCGGGGTCTTGCACAGTCCCTGGCACACAAGTAGATGCAATATTTACAAAGTGAATGAATGATTAAATAGGTGAACAAACAGATGAGCTGAGGAAATTTTTATATGGAGCCTTAAGATGTGGTTGGACCATGGGGTTTCCACTGATTCATCAGTTACTAAAACCTCTGGTTAGGAGGTTCCATTGTGAGTACAGTGTTAAAAACCTTCAAAATCATAATCCGGGCAAGCTCAATGATAGGAAGAATGCTGTTCACTCTTTGCTGCTTTTTCTTAGGAGTCATCCATAAAGCTCGGTATAGATAAGAGATTATCTTAGGCATTTGATGCAAACTTTAAAAATTATTTTTGACTTGAATCTGAGGTCTGAAAGCTGGGTTTCTAAGGAACCCAGGAGCCAAGGAAGCTGGGATAGAGGCCATCAGTTTGCTATTTTCCTAGCAATGGCCCATCTCTGTGCCCTGGAGCTACTACCCTTCCTGGCATGAACAAGGATGGCTCAGTTGCAGCAGTGGTGTGGGGATGAGCTTGCTTGGTACAGTCTGGCTGGAAAAACCACTGTAGTTAGAAACCCACACTCACAGGGAAACATATTTTCCGTTTGGTGCAGTGGTTGGATCTCTGACAATGTTTAGTCATTAATAAGGGCCATTTTCACAGCAGCGCCCTGCAGAAGGAGATCGGTGGTGTCTCCCTTCCTCCCTTGACCTCCAGCCTAAGGTCCTGGAATCGCATCATAATTCCTCTTGGGGAGTTTCAGACAGTGAAAGTGCTGATGGAACACATCCCACTTACGAACAGAGGCAGTGCTGCAAGGACTGCAACTAAAGAGTCATCTAAGTTACAAGACTACATAACTCCATAATAGAAAATTGGGAAAGACATGCTTTTTCATTCCTGGTAAGGATCCAAGCCAAGCTTGTCATGCTATTACTTGTATTTTGTCTTTACATGAAATGAAAAGCAAAGCTGGAGGAAGCTAAATTTTTAAAAACTGCTCTCATGCTGAGGATGTGAAATCACTGCTCTTCTGTACACATATTATCTGAGGCCAGATTATATCCACGGGGGAGAAATTACCCAGAAACTCATGAATTGTGCTTCCGTATTCATGTCAATTCCCAAGGCCAATAAAGAGAAAAGAAGACTTTAGCAACCTTAATACATTCAAGTGTTTAAAGAAACACTAATATGCTTTCACTTATCAATCATTAAAGGCAGGCAAAAATGGCTAACTTTGGGAAATTGAAAGCATAAACCAAAACACAATTCATCGGACAACCCTCCCCTGTAGAAAGAGAGTTGAGGGCGGTGGGTGGTTTTTCTGAGCCAATTAGAAACCAGCCTTGTCCTCGCTGGACCCACGTCTTCCCCCACACCCCTCCCTCCCGCAGCGGATTTGCTGAGCACCTGCAGCGTGCCAGCCCCGTGCCCGCGTCAGTGATGGAGCAGAGAATGGGCAGACGTGGGCCTTGCTGTCAGGGGGCTTCCAGTGTCGTGGGGGAGGCAGACACTGGAAATGTGTAAATAAACATGTCACAATAACTTAGGATTAAGAGCTATAAAAAAAAGATGGAGTTATGAAAAAATGTGTGTGGGGGGTGTTGGTGGTGGTTGAGGGTACTTGGGCCAGCAAAGGAGGAGGTGACACTGGAGTTGAGACTGGAGGGACAGGGAGTCAGCCAGGGGATGAACATGGGGCGGGAGAGGAGATGGTGGCGGTGGGCTCCCAGAGAGAACGAATTCCAAGGGTGTGAGGGAACGCGCCTCTGCATCCTCCCTCCTCCTGTCTCCCTCTTTCCCTGTTCTTCTGTCTGTCTCTCTCTCACACCCCTGCAGCTCCCTTATGTGGAGGGCCACTACTCCTGAGGACTGAGGTGCCAGTGGGTGGGTAGGGAGCTTCCTGTGAGGGAAACACAGGTAAGGTAGGAAGGGGCCCCAGGCTTTGCAGGGAAATGCGAGATGAGGGAGAAAGGAAGGGAGGCCCAGGCACTGCCAACCCACATAGCTGCACAGAGCCAGCCCTTCCAGAAAGCTCTCCCTGAGTATCTCCTGGGTGCCAGCCCTGGGAGCGTACACGTTGTCCTTGCTGTCTCCCTCACTCCTCACCTCCAGGTTGCCAAGTGCCGTGGGCTCTATGTCCTTATCGACATCCCTCGACTGCCCCACGACTTTGCTCCATCCCCTGGCCACTGACATGGAGCAAGCTACCATCATCTTTCTCCAGGACAACTGCAACACAAATATTTAGAAAACAAATGCATGAGCAGGACTTGCTATGGAGAGAAATCCTGCTGTGTACCCACATAGAAATGAAGGCTTCCTTTCCAAGCAGATAGCCAGCTTTTTGGAGAAAGGTTGGATGTGCCTATTTCTGAGCCAGCCAGGGCAAGGGATGCAGACTCCCTAAAGGCCGAACCTTCGGAGCTGCCTTTTCTTGGCATATTTTCCTGTTGACATGGAGCTCAGTGATCACGCTCAGTCCTTCCTAAGTCTGCGTAATCCACACCAACCATTCCTGACCATTGCTCTTTCAATTTGGTTAAGGTTACACTGAATTTATATGGTAGGAGACTCTGCCTTTCCCTCCACCCCTGGCCATCCACCCATGAACTCACTGTCATCCCGCATCCAGCGAGGCTCTGAGAAATCCCTCCGTAGCCTCAGGAAGGACAGTATATCCAGACCCACAGTACTGCTCCCTTCTAGACCTTGAGGCCAACTGAGGAACTTCCAGGGCATTGTGTACTCACCAAGCCACAGTTCCTACTGTGTTCTGATATGTGAGGAGGATTTCCATGGCAAATGTAGCCTTGCCTGTGGGCGGTCTGTGTACATGCAGAGGGCGCTGTGCTGGGTGCTGTAGTTGGGGGCCCGACCTCAGGAGACCACCTCTTCCCTGCAGCTAGTGACCCTAAGGCAGCCTGTGGCCATGGACCTGGAATTCTCATTTCTACCCAGCCTATAGCAGGTGAGGGAGGCTCCACATTTCCCCCAAGAAGGTTAAGAATGGATGACCTTGACCTCTTGAATTATCAGCTCTCATTCTCATGTTACCGCAACACAACAGATTTATGAGCATCTTCAAGTCATGAGTCCTAGAAGAGTCCTTAAGCACACTTTTCAACCCAAGAACAGGACATTTTATACAAAATTAATGTCATTATGACTGTCCTCTCTGTAAAACAGGTGGACTAGTGAAGCCCAACAATGGATTAGTCAAAGACGACTAGAAAAATCAGGATCATGGACAAATGATGCTCTACACGTGAAAGCAACATGCACTGACATGGTGGCTCTGTGGCGACTCCAATTAAGCTCTGGATTTTTTGCTATATGCAGGGCAACAAGAAAACACCAGATATGCCAGAGGAAAAGTAAAATGAAGGAGGCCATTGATGGAACTATAGGACATGGATAGTATTTAAAATATGGCTGTCTCTAAGAAAGCCCCATGTGTTTGGCCAGCTGGAGGAATGGCTGGAACACAGCAGGAACCTGATGGCCAGTCTGCAGTCTCCAGTCTTGACCCATGACCGTGAAATACCTTTCTAATGTTGGCTTTCTTGAGTATGACCAATGAATAAAAACCACGTTCCCTCTCCTTTCTTCGAAAGATTCATTATAGCAGGCTTTGAATTTTTTAGAGAAAGGGGATCACATAAAATTCTGTTATTCTTTTATGGAAATGTTTAATGCTCACAGCTATAAAGTAGTGAGACAGTGGAATGAACCCTGTTAATTATAGTACCTAATATGGAGGCCGGATCAAGAAAGGACCCAAACCCGACCTCATACTGTCCCTGGGCCCGGCATACTCCCGAGCTGTTACTGACCTATGAGACAGCCTTCAGGAATTCTTTTCACAGCCTTTTTGCCCGGATGAAAGTGTTGGCAAAGATCCCCATCCTAGAATCAAACCAGGTTTCTATGTTGCAAAAGTATGTGAACTTTTGCTGTGGAAATTTCCATCTGGAGCCAACAGAGTTCTCCAATTTTCCCCAGCAGGCAGAAGCCTTTAAAAGACAGATCAATAATATAATATGGTTTCCTTTCCAGTAATTTAATCCTGCTGTCTGCTTTGTTTCCCATGCCTTCCTGTTTTTCGTTTTTCAAGCCCACAGGACCACGCCTGGCCCATTCAGCACAGGAGGGTACATCTGGAAAGCCACTATTCAGTGGGTTCCTGCTGCTGAGTTGAAAACTTGGGGGATGCAGCTGTTGTGATAAAAACAAGAGAAACACTCGGCCAGTGTTTAGCTTTAGAAAGCTGCTGGCTTCACAGAGCCCAGTGCTAAATAAGGCATTTGAGAAACTCCAGTCAGCAGCAGATGTGAAAAGCATGTTTAAAGGCCCCGTCTGTGCCCTGGTGTTCCCAGAGCAGCCAGCCCTGTCCTCAGATGGGTACATGTGGAGAAGCGAGATGAGAACTGCGTGCACCGCAGCCTGCACAATCTTTGTGAATATTCTCATCTTTTCTCTCTGAATCTGGCAAATGGCCAGGCATCTTTACAATGTCAAAGCCATTGTTTTCAGGACTGATGGTTAACTAGGCCAAACTAAGGGAAAACAAGGTCAGCAACTTCCACTACAGGTTTTAGGAGTGATGCAGTCCGACAGTTTTGTAAAGCTGAGCAGACTTTCGCCCCTCGGGTGGCAGCGTGGCCCAGAGCAGTGGTTTTCAGCCTCCCCCAAGGAAGTGGGCCAACATGCAGATCCCTGGGCCCCTGACCCTGCCGCAGGGCCTCCAATTAGGAGGGCAACCTTGATGCATGGGGCTCAAGACCCACACTTGGTGAACTAGTGGCATAAAGGAAAGAGCTGGGCCTCATTTAGAGTAATCTGTCCATATACAGTTGACTTAATTCTGGGAGCCTCTGGTCCCTTATCTGTAAAATAGGGCTATACCCACAGGGTTGCTGTGAAAATTAGGAATGATGTATGAGCCACCCCTGGCAGCACCAGGCCAGCCCCAGGAGGAGCCGGGGGAGGTAGTAGGAAGGTCTGTGCGGCTCTGCTCAGCCCTCCTGAGGTTTCTGTGTACTTTTGTTATCATTAGCCACCTTTTACCAATCTGGGGTCCCTCCCCTGCCTGGAGTTGAGTGGCTGGGTTGAACCAATGGAAGAGTTTTTCCAGACTTCATCAAGGAAAGTGGAGATTCCCCATGGCAGGCACCACCTTAGCCACTGGCCCTGCCTTCTGCTCCCTTTTACAGTGGTGCTCATGGTGGGAGGACAGTGCTCCCGGTGGCCTGCACTAGGGCTGTGTCCCGCGCTCATCAGAGCAGCCTCACTCCACTCTCCTCAGTTGGTGCCTGGAAAACTGTGGGAAGGAATGAGGGCAAGTGTTGCTGTTATCTCCATGTTACAGATGAGGAAACTGAGGCCTCTGCATCAACTCTTGGTCCACTCCATTCCATTCTCAACATTAGCCTCACAGTGATTTTCTTAAAAATCCAAAGGACAACTATAGACCTTTTGTACCCTGTTTAAAATTCTCTCAACAGCTCCCAGCTGCTTAGAGCAAAGTTTGGAAAACTTTTTCTGCAAAGGGCCAGACGGTAAATATTGTAGGCTTTGTCGTCCAAGAGACAAAATCAAGGCTACAAGGTAGGTACAAGACTTATACAGTAAGATAGAACAAATTTCCACAAATTTTTTGATTGATGAAATTCAAGATACAATAATGAGTAGTTTTTTTCCCCTGATATAGTTCTACTAATGAGAAGAATAGATTCATTTTTGGGGGGAGAATACTTAAGTCCAAAGTTAGTGTCTTCTAGCATCAAATTGGTTGCAAATGATCATTTGTGGAAAGCATTTTTAGTTCAAGGGCCACACAAAAGCAGGTGGAGGGCTAGATTCGGCCTGTGAGGGCCATAGTTTGGGACCCTTTCATAAAGGATCAAGTCTCAGCACCTTAACCTGGCAGACCTGCCTCAGAGACTCACCCTCATGCCTTCCCCCCGCCCCCCAGTCAGCCCCAACTGCTTTTTGTTCCTTAAATGTACTTTGTTCTCTTGGCCTGGAGCATCCTTCTTCCATCCCATTTCCCAACCTGGGAATTCCTGCTTCTCCCAGTCCAAACTCTTTTTTAGGACTGCTTATCTGGACACCTTCCTTAAAGCCCATCCCTCCCATCATCTCAGTATGGACCTGCAGCATGGAACTCAGCACATAATATACTTGGGGGGAGGGAGGCTACAGTCTGCAACTCTCCCATTGGTCTGGAACATTCATAAGGGAAGGGACTGCTTCATTTCTATTGTTTCCACTGTGCATGCTCCAAAATAGGGAGGGGTTTTAGCGACCCTGTCCCAGGTCTTCCGACTTCTCCAGTGCCACCTTCACCCCGGGCCACCTAGCTACCTTGAAAGCACCATGTTCCTACAGCCCACCACTCTGCTGGCCACAGCCGAATGGCCCAGGGGTGGGTACCGGATTCAAGCCGGGCCTACCAGTCTTTCCCTGAGGTCTCTCAAGATGAGATAAGAAAAGGCACAGGGGTAGGATGTAAAACTTTCCATTGTCTGCATCTTGAGGGAAGACACTGCCACGAGAGAGGAGGAGGATGTGCAGAGAGAAGCAGGGAGGCAACCTGGGCAGAAAGGGCCTGTAGACGTTAGTGTGGCTTCTGCAGGTCCTCCTGCGGCATGGCTGCATCCCTGCCTGCTACTCCTCTGGCTGCTCTGCCCTTCTCTGGAAACCGCAAGACAACAGATGCCCCTTTATACCTAAGCTAGTTTCCATTGTATTCTGCCAGTGGCAACCCAAAGACTCCTACTGCACTGATCTTGGCATTCTGCCCTCTGTGCCATTACATTCCAAACTTTTTTAAAGCCTAGGACTCCCTTGTTCGAAAAACAAATCTTACTAGGAAGCTCATGATGTGAAATAGATGATGGTGTAGTGTAGACTGCACAGTACAGACAGCCTGGTGCTAAATCTCCACTCTGACTACCCTTAGGAGTGTGATGAAGGCCAAGACACTTCCTTCTCAGCCTCAGTTTCCTGCTTTGTAAAATGCGGAGAGTAGAAGTACCTACTCTCGGGGTTGCTGTAGGGTTTAAATGAGGTAATATATACTCATTTAGCACGGCGCCAGTGGTATAACATCACTCAAGAAGCATCATCTATGATTATATGGAAGTGAGGGATGGGGACCCACAGAGCAACTGCCACCCTCAGCTTTCCTTGTCACCTGTCCCCTCACATGTGTAACATTATTAAAAGTGATTGATTTAATATATGCCTTCCTGGCTAGACTGGCCACTCACAAAGACAAATAACATATTTGTCTTGGTCACTGTTTTTTTCCCACCTCTGGCTAGCACAGTAATTGGTCCATAGAAGGGCCCAGTAACTATTTATTGACTAACTGATAACAGATATGCATCATCTCCTTAAAAATTAGGTACCACACATTACCCAATCTGGTGCCTTTTGCAGTGGAATCAGAAAAGTCTTAAAAGGAGAAAACGATTGATTTATGGGAAAGCCCATTCAGAACTAAAGTTAATTATTTTGGTTTGGTCAGTTATGGTACTGAGAGATTCCCAGGTTTTCCTCACTTCAAAACTAATTTATGTAAGACATAATATATGAGATACATTTAAGGCAATAGTAAGCCATAAACACTTAGATCAATAAAAATAAAAATAAATGAAATTCCCAACTCATAAAGATAGAAAAATAAATTTTTGACAAAGCAAAGCAAAATAAGGTACAGGCCAGAAATAATGATGACAAAATCAGAAATTAATGAAATAGAGAACAGGAAGACAATAAACCTACAGAGTTAAAATCCTAGTTCTTTGAAAAAATTAACAAAATGGAAAAACCACAAACAAACTCAGTCAAGGAAAAAGGGAGAAAACCCAAACATAAAGCTAAGACATTAAAATGGGAAAATATAATAACCGATAAAAAGTGGAAAATTTAAAAATTCATGAGACTACTTTGCAAATCCCTATGGAAATAAATCCAAAAGTGCAAATGAAATTAATAATTATCTAAAAAAATATAGTTTACCAAAATGATCCCATTAAATATAGAAAGCTTCAATAAACCACTTTTTGTAGAAGAAATAGAGAAAATTGTCAAGGAATTTTCCCACAATAAAAGCACAAGGCCTAAAGATTTCACAGGAAACACAAACCTTCAAAGACTAGATATTAATAGTTTCAGTGCTACATAAATTCTTTCAACGCACGAAAAATAAAGGTAAACCTCCAAATTGTTTTTATGAAGCAAACATAACATTGATACTTAAACAAATATCATATATAAATATTGGTACAAAAATGTTAAAATAAATATTAGCAAACAGAATCAACACCTGCTATGGTTTGAATGTACCCCCCAAAAAGCATGTGTTGGAAACTTAATCTCCAGTGCAACAGTGTTGGAAGGTGCAGCCTAATGAGAGGGGATTAGGCTATGAGGACTCTGCCCTGATGAACAGATTAACGCTATTATCTTGGGACTGGTTTCATTATAAAAGGCTGAGTTTGGCACCCTTTTCTCTCTCTCTTGCCCTTCCACCTGCCACCAAGAGATGATGCCACAAGAAGGCCCCTGCCAATGCCAGCCCCTCATTCTCAGACTTCTCAGAACCATGATAAATAAATTTCTTTTCCTTATAAATTACCCAATCTCTGGCATTCTGTTATAGCAGCACAAAACAGATTAAGACAACATGATATTAAGAAAATAATTCAACATGACTAAGGGGGATTTATTTCTGGAATGCAAGGTTAGTTCAGTGTTATAGTAAAATACACCATATTAAGTGATCTAAGAAGAATCATCTGATAATCTCCATTGATGCTGAAAAAGCTTTTGATAAAATTCAACATTTATTTTTAATCTAAAAAATTCATGAAAATAAAAGTTGATGAATGCTTCCTTAACATGATAAAATATATAAATCTTAGCTCTAAAGCCAGCATTTATTCAATGAAGAATCACTAGAGGCATTTACACTAAAATCAGGAACAAGGCAAGAATGCCCATTATCTCCATTACTATTTATTATTTATTATACTGGAGGCATGAGCCAATGCAATTAGACATGAAAAATCAATTAGAGACTAAGAATTAGAAAACATAAAGTAAAGCTATATCTGTTTGCAGATGATGTAATAGTATATACCTTGAAAACCTGAGAGAATCAATGCTCAGATTAACTCAAGCAATAAAAGAATTAAGCAATTAGCAGTATATAAATTTAACACAGAGAAACCAATTGTGTTCATATCTACAAAAATGAGTCAAAAATATAATAATGGGTAAATCTTCATTTAAAGTAGTAACAAAGAAGATAAAATGCTTAGAAATAAACTCAATAAGAAATATACAAAACCTATATGAGGAACACCTTTAAATGTGCCTGAAAGGTACAGAAGTAGACATGAACGAATGGAAAGATACCCCTTGTTCTTAGATAGAATGATTCAACATCATAGAGATGTCAGTTCTCCCATATATATAAAAAATACAATAAAATATCAGCAAACTCTTTACAGAGCTAGACAAATTAATACAAAAATTCATGTAGAAAAATAAACATGCAAGAATATCTATAATCCCCAAAAGCCATAAGGAGTGTCTAGTCCTACCACATATTAAATTATTCTATAAAATCTCTATCATTAAAACTATAAGATACTGGCACATGAATAAACTGAAAGAGTAAGGGAATAGAATAGAAATCCAGAAATAGACTCCAGTACATATGGAAGTTCAGTATACGATGGAGGTGTTATCTTAAATCACTGGTGGCATTGATGGGCTCCTTAATGAAACAGTGCTGGACAACTGGGTAGCCATTTGGAGAAAAGACAACAGTAGTTGCAAACCTCCCATCGTCCACACAAATAAATTCCAAATTAAAAAAATAATAATAATGGAAGAAAACATAAAAGAATTCTTTTATAAACTTAGTATACAGAAAGAGCATGATAAAACTTAAAATTGATACATTCTATTATGTAAAAATAAAAAAAATACTTACATGGTAAAAATTACTTGATAATTCATTTTTAAAATATATATTCTAAGACGATTACTATATCTTTTACTCAAAAAGTGTTAGCTTAGATTTACCACAAAAGTGATGTCATCATACCTAAACAAGCCACTTACAAAGTTTCATTTAAAGGAGCGCGGCGGAGGGAGAGGAACTGGGCGGGAGTGGGGAGGCGGGGAGAGCCTAGCCTTGTGTCAGTATTGGCTCCAGCCTTACCTTCTTCAGTTTCCTGTGGGCCCCGCTGTGGTTCCCCTGCACCAGGTCTGCGCCACTCAGGAACCGGTAAGTCTCTGCCACCTCGGGACTAAAATCGCCAAATGCTCCCACTTTGGCTACCAGGGACTCTTTCAGGATTGAGGTTGCTCTCTGTGAAATGAACAAAAAGTTGTCTGGTGGAAAAGTTCACAGGCTGTTTAGGATCAGTGTCTCTTAAGAAAATTATGTTCAAACTCCTGGGCTCAGGCAGGGGAAAAATTATGTAACTGATGTATATTTTCACTTTTTACAGGAATGGGTTTGGTAGTCTCCTGAGCTGAGCCTACTCTTCTCTGGCGCAACAGGAGACGGAGAGAATGTGTGGGAGGAGAGGTGTGAACTAAGGAGAGGAATGCACAAATGACATCTGGTGGCAGCAGCCCAACTCAGCTATTACAGGAGTCCACCCCCATTTGAGTAGTAAGAGCAAAAGCTACCAAGTATTGAGTCCTTGTGTCAGGAACTGTACCAAAGAGTTGATGTGTGTGATCTCATTTAATTCTCACTGCTTTCTTCAGATAGGTACACTTTTAATCCTCATGAGACAGAGGAGGAAACTGAGGCATAGAGCAGTCAGGAAACTTGCTCACAGCCAATCACTCAGCCATGGCGTAGCTAGGATCTGAGTCCAGCCAATAACATTAATACTTTTTAGTTCCACACCCCTCTTCCTCTGTACACACTGCCTTTCCTACAGAAGTGAAAACTACAGTGTTCCCTGGCAACTTATCTACTTACAGAACATCCAGAACATGCTCCAGGCTTTCCTATTCTTAGGAAATGGCTTAGGAAACCAAAATTAAACATCCCAACATAACATGACATTTTGTTAGGTTTATCTAGTTTGTCTGTACCAACATGGAATAAAAAATATAAGTTGGTCAGAACACCATATTTTCTAATATTAATTTCTTCAGACACCAAGCAACAAGACATGTGGGGGTAAAAATCCCACACTTTCTCCAGAAATTCTCCCACAATCTCCTACATGAAGGCACAGTTATAGCTGCAGAACAGGAACACTGAATTTAACCACCAAACAAAGCAGGGACCGGCAAAGGTTCTGCTCCTGGCACAGCCCCACGGGTGTCCCGGAAGCACGCTGCAGACAGAAGGGTGCAAAGCCTTTCATCCTTTTACTGGCAATGCTATGAGTTAGGGGCTTGGGCTGGGGGTGGGGGACCACATAAAGGTGCTAACGAGGCAGAAGTCAATTTCTTAGATGGGAATAGGAATCCCTGAAGAGGCAGAGCGATTGTGTAACTTTCCAAGTGAGGCCCACTGAGGTACATGAGGGACTAGAATTCAAATCCAGACTTGTAACGCGTATTCACATCTCCCGACACCTGAGAGCAAGGGCTTAGAACGATGAAGTGTTGGGCTTGGTAACTCTCCCGTGGGAACTGCCTGACAGGCTCTGAGGAGCCAGTGACAGAAGGAAGAGCGGGGACTCCTTTTCCGCTGTTTACAGCCCTGACTGGGGAAGCTGGAGACGGATGTGCAGGAAGTTAAATAAATGTCAAGTCGAGATGACAGTGGAAGAGATGCCTCATGGGTTTATAGGAAACAGAGCCACTGAGAGTTAGGAAAAGCTTAGTGGAGAGGAGTGACGATCCACTAGGTCTTAGACGGGCTGAGAAGAGGGAGAGGGCAGCCGGGAGTGCAGGAGCAGCCCACAGCCTGTTTGGGCCAGTGGGTGGACTCATTTGACTGCAGCAGAGACAGCATAAGGGGACAAGAGAGAGCTGAGGCTGGAGCTGCAGGCTGGGGCTGGTAGTGGATGGCTTTTGAGCTGGGCTGAGGAGTTTAAATTTTCTTATAGGGATAAGAAGTCAGTGAAGGTTCTTGAGTAGGGGAGTAGCACAACTAGAAGATAAACCCACACAGAGTATCTTAACCAGTGGCAGAGTGACTTTCACTTACATTTTACCTTAAAAGCCATTTCCTCCCCGAAGATCGCCTTCCTGTTGGTGCCCACGTTAGGCTGTGACCACATCTGGGATGGTCTGGGTGCAGCCCCAGGCTCGTTTCTGGGACTGTCCTTGGGCCCAGCCCTTGTTGGCCAACTCCTGCCAGGACCCACAATGACAGGTCTGCAACCATGGGGTGAGAAGAGCACAAGGCTGGCACGTCTGGCTGGGCAGGTTGCGCCCTGTGCAAGGGCACCTGGCAGGAGCACGGGGAAGGCTAAAATCCAGCCCATGCTCCACTCTGGCACTGGCTCTAACTACCTGAGGAAGGAGCAGCTTTTTCTACTCTCACAAGGGCACTGGATGGGCTGCCAGTGGCCCTGACATGAAAAGAGCCTGTTTGCTAAAGTCTCCAAGGGCGGCGTGGCAGAGTGAGGTGCATCTTTCAATCAACACTGATTTGGGTGACTTGGACGAGGGCAGTGAGGCACAGCACCAGCGACACTGGCATCAGCTGCCTCAGCAACAGACACCATGGCAGGAAGCCAGACAGGAATGGGGGCATGGGTCTGCAGCCAAACACCCACCGCTGCTCAGCACTTCTCACCATGGGGAAGAGGGTCCCTGCTCCCATGGACTCAGTCTAGTCACCAGAGAGACGTCAAACCTCCACAGGAATGTACACTTACACATATCTGATTGCATCAAACCAGATTCTGCAAGGAGCACTAGTGAGGACAGTGTAAGGAGGACCAGGGAGAAGAATCAGGGCGGGTGGAGAGAACTGAAGGATGGGTTGGCCTCAGCCTGGAGACAAACCAGGAATGGCCTTCCAGGGGCAGGAAACAAAAGCTGGCACTGCCCAGAAGTGGGAATGAGAAAAGGCCAGTGCGGCAGGAACACGGATTAGGGAGGGCGGGGGCAGGGGTGGTGGTACAAAAATGAGGCTGTAAATGTCAGTGGGAATCCAGGTCCTGGGGGTTTACTATGGGCCACACAGGGTTTCTGGCTTATCCTAAGGGCACTGAGGAACTGTGGGAGTATTTCACAAATGAGTGCTCACTGATCGGATTTGCTGTCTGAGAAGATCACCATGGCCTCCTCTCTCTGGGTGGATTACACACAAGGAAGTGAGGAAGCAGCAGCTGGAGGGCGGAGCTGGTCAGCGCAGTGCAGGCAAGAGGTGAGAGTGACGGGCTGGGGGCAGAAAGCAAGGGGTGCAGCCAAGATACATTTTAGAGGGAAAATGACTGAGGAACCAGATGGGCAAGGCGTGATGGGGCAACTTGCCCCATCCTTCTAACCTGAGCGCTCCCCATAAGACTTCTAGAAATGACTGGGAGGGGGAGAGGGGATCTGAGATCTCTGGAGGGCCCTTCTTTCCTTGGGTGGGTGATCCAGAAAAATACTGAAACACTACTTGTCATGGTGACTTTGGCCTGAGAAACATGGGTGTATCTAGATAAAAGCCTGAATTCCTAATTGAGAGAGCGGTGGGTGATTAAGGATGAGGAAAGAGCTATCAAGAAGGAGGTCTACAAAAATAAGGGAAAAAAGAAGTTTTTCATCTCTAAGATTTGCCATAGGTTAGAGCTGAACAAAAAAACCCAACCCCATATACAGCTGGCCCTCCATATCTGTGGATCAAAAATATTGGAAAAAAAATAATATAACAATATAAATAAAAATAATACAGTATAACAACTATTTAGGTAGCATTTACATCACATTGTATTACACTGTAGTAAGTAATCTACAGATGATTTAAAGTATACAGGAGGATATGCATAGGTTATGTGCAAATACTACACCATTTTGTACAGGGCACTTGAGCATTTATATATGTATGTATATGTACACAAACATAAAAAAAAATCAAGCTACAGTAAGTGGCTTCCTGGTAGCTGTTAGGCTTTGCAGGGAATAAGTTCCCAAGGGTTTTAATCACCAATGAATACAAACTCTTGGTCCTCTTCCATTTTTATAAGCCATGGAAAGCATGCCTTTCCAGATCAATGGTAAAACAGAGTAAGCTGTAACTTCTGCACTCTGGAGCTTTCATCCAATATGCACGTTCCACCCGTTAAGCAAAATGAGAAAAAAAAAAAAGAGGAATCAGACACACTGAGTGCCACAAGCCATCCCAGACAGAGCTGCAGGCTGTGATAGGCAGGGTCTGCCCACTGGGTTATCAAGGTTTTCAGGTCTCCAGTATCTTTTGCAGGTGGGCATGATGATCTACATTCTCGCAAACCGTTCTGAGGTTTCTAAGAGCAAGTATCTAGAGCTGCCAGAGAGGAGCCACCTGGTCTTATTTACATGTCCCTCCAGAGCCTGCCACATGCTTTGTACATAGTAGGTGCTTAATGGATGCTTGCAGACCGAAGGGTAGCCCTTTGGATATCAACTGGGTTGCCCATGTAAATAACTGGATAATTATGACCCAACTCGCTTACCTCTTTTTGTCCGGTCATTTGTAGAAAATGGCAAAATTCATCTTGAATTGAAAGAAATTTGGCTCTTCCCTGCCCTTCAGAATCCTTAAGATGAGTCATGCTCTCTTGAAAATACTGCTCAACCACACCTGAAGAAAGGCATTAGAACAACTTTGAAAACTGCTCATAGATTTGAAATGGAAACAGAACAAATATGCTTTTAGTGGTGGTGAACTATTTGAAACTGAGCATTTGGATAGGAAAAACCAGTTAAGAAGAGTTTTCTTTGCCCATTAATCTGCCTGTTTTATCAGAAAGAATTTAGGCCTCAGAAGGCTATGGCAATTTACTTGCTTTAATTTCTATACATCTTAGCTTTCCCAGTGATACATAAAGCAAAGTTCATGAAAAGGAGAAACTATCCCTCAGGCCTGAACACACTGGTAAGTTCTCAGGGTGACTGACCACTGATTCTTCCTGTAACTCTGGTCACTCCTCACTGAGGTTAAGACCCCGAGTGTCCACTTATCTTAATGGAGTCCGACTGGAATCGTGGGAAATATTTCTATAACATTAAAAATCTGGAAAGTATCATTGACATGCTGCTGAGGGAAGAAACCCCAACCATTCCAAACACCTCAACATGCTGGTTATAATATGAGAAAAATATTTTTAAATACACGCTAATCTTGAAAGCAAGAAAAGAAAAACCTCAGGTATGAAAAATGAGGAGGAAACTGAAAGCTATAGCCGTGAGTGCGAGCTACAGCTGAATGGCCCGTGAGCATATCAGAAAAAGATATTCCCTGAGTGCTGGGGTTTTCTAAGCCTGGGAAGGACTGGGGATGAGGCCTGAGGCTGAGGCCTGTTTGCAGTAGGAAGCTGAATGGGTTTCCCTGCAAAGAGCCAGTGTGGCCGGCAGAACTCTACGATGCCCCCAGTGACCCCTTGTATAATCCCTCCTCTTTGCTTATGGGTGGCATTAATGAGAACGATAAGATAGTACTGTGATGAGGTTACATTATAGGGCACAGGTGGCTCTAAGAAAGCAAGATTATCCTTTGGCCTGGAATTCAAAATAGGAGCCCTTTAAAAACAGAGCATTTTCTCTGGTGGCAGAAAAGAAAGTCAGGGAGATTGGAAGGCTGGGAAGGATTTGATTAGAAGGACATTGCCTGTTGCTGAGATGGGGCGGGCCGTGGTGCAAGGACCCGAGCAAGAGTGGCATGTAGGAGCTGACAGAGGTCACTGGCCAACAGCCTTCAAGAGAATAGGGACTTCAGTCCTACAGCTGCAAGGAACTGGATTGTGCTAATAACAGGAATGAGCTTGGAAAAGGACCCCAAGCTCCAGATGAGAACAGAGCTGGCCATCGACTTGATTTTAGCCTGAGCCAAGAAGCCAGCCTTCCTGTACCAAACTTTTGACCTACAGAACTGGGAGCTTATAAATGGGTGTTTAAACAAATTTGTTATGCAGCAAAAGAAAATGAATACGCACAGTGCTGTGGTCTGAGTGTTCATATGTTGAAATCCTCACTCCATGGTGATGGTATTAGAAGCTGGGGCCTTTCAGGGCTGATTAAGTCATGAGGATAGAGCCCTCCTGAATGAGATTAGTGCCCTTATAAAAAAGGCAACAGAGAGCTTTCTTGTTCCTTCCACCATGTGAGGACACAGTGAAAAGACTGCCATCTATGAACTAGGAAGCAGGCCCTCACTAGACACCAAATATGCTGGGGTCTTGATCTTGGACTTCCCAGACTCCAGAACTGTGAAAATTAAATTTCTGCTGTTCATAAGCCACCCAGTCTATGGTATTTTGTTATAGCAGCCAGAATGGAGTAAGACAGCCAGGAATCCGTAAGATGCAAATTGCACTGATCCAAGGTGTGGCCTCAAGGCTGTCCACCCACAAGCTATGGCTAGAAAAAAAATATCTGAAAGAAATCGGGACACCATACTGGAGCATAAACATGTGGGTGGTCTGAATGTGTATCACCCACTTGGTTTGGAAATCCTGAACCAAGAAATTAACACAGAAATTAGTCTGAAACTGGAAAAATTATAGGGCTCTAGCATAGGGGTTGGCATACTTATTCTGCAAAGGACAGATGGTAAGTATGTTAGGCTTTGTGGGACATATGATCTCTGTTGCAGTTATTCAGCTCTGCTGTTCCAGCATGAAAACAGCCATAGACAAAACATAAATAAACAAGCATGGCTGTGTTCCAATAAAACTTTATTTATAAAAGCAGGTGGTAAGCTGGATTTGGCCCAGGGGGCATAAGTTTGCTGACCCCTGCTGTAGCAGGGGAAAATGTGATTGCTTCCTCTGACAGGAGACGTGGAAGTCCCACTGAAGCACCTGTTGGAGTTTGCCTCATGGTGACACATGACAATTGCATAAAGTTTGTCAGGGAAGATTATGGCCCATATAGACAGTGATTTATTTGACATTTCCACTTGGAAATCTCATGTGTATTCTATAGAGCTGCATAAAACATTATTTTTTGCTTCTCTAAATTGCCTCTATGTTTGGTTATTTTGCCCTTTATCATTTCTAATTTTGTATTTGTTCTTTCTCCTTATTTTCTTGATTAGGTCAGCTAGTGTTGTATCTAGTTTATTATCTTCCCAGTGAATCAATCCGTGAATTTATTTTTCTCATTCTGTGACATTAATGTCAGGTGATTCCAAAGAGGCCTCCATGATCTATAGGTAGAGCTCCCCAGAACACAGCAGGAGCAAGAATTAGACCAGCCCATGCAGAATATGGTTGTTGTTGGAGGCAGCAGGGTGAGAAGTAAAGAGGGTTCTGGATTTGGGCTGCTGGGCTCAGGTTCTGGCCCTGCTCCTTCCAGCTGTGTGCCTTACTTCACCGACCTCAGACTCTTAGAATAGGGACCATTAAACTAGTACCTCCCTTATGGGGCTGTAAGGAGTAAGTAGATTAATACACACAAATAACTGATAACATGCCTGGCATATAGTTGGTGTTGAATAAATGTTAACTATTTCAGCTTCAGGAACAGTGTGATAATTGTGGCTATGGGCAACCACACTAGGCTAAATAGCAGGCACTTTGGAAGCAGCAAGTAGCAGAGAGGGACCTTGAGACAAGAGAAACATGAAAACAAACAGAACGGTCCAAAGACACAGAAGTCTTGCATCAGATGAAGATAAACAGCCCTGCACACCTCAAGGGCTCTGACGACATGTCTTAAAATCATAGTGAGAATCCTGAGTCTCGAGAAATAATCCAAATACACTCCATGGGATCTAACTTGGAAAGTAGAGAAGTAAATACTTGGGAAATACGCCAGCCTAATCACATCTAGTCAACCTAAAGCAAGCTTAGGTCTGAAACAAGTTGTGTTCACCAGCAAGATTCACGCCATGTAGATTCTAGGCAGTCACCAGATAGAAGCAGGAATTGCACCCAGTGCTGCCTGGCCCTGGAGTAGACGCCAACTGACCTGGGTCCCTTTCCCCCCTTTTGATGGGCCTGTCCGCTGCCAGACCAGCAGATGCATGCATAGAGTGCTACTCAAGTTTTTGTCTTGGTAAGAGAAAGTTCTACCACATGGAAAATGTTAACATCTCCCTTATTCATAGCTGACTGTAATGAAAACATTACAGAGTTAATGCTCGAACTATTAACTTTGGCTCCTTTGATAATCTGATGACAGCAAATGTTGGGGATGATGTGGCATTTATTTTGTAGATTCTAAAAGCCTTACAGAGATGAACACTCATGTCTAAAATGAATGCGGATGTTAAGGGAGGGAGGAGTACTCTTGATACTTTAGTTTTCTGGTTACTTGGGAATTAAGCAAAGAATGCGGCTGAGCTCTTCTTTTTAAGAGTGAAGAGTTTTCTGCATCTTGGCCTCCTCGCCCTGGAGATGGGCCCTACTGTGAAGCCCGGCAGATGGAAAAGGCATAGGAAAGAACTGGGGTTGAACGAGCACTGAGTGTCAGAGCCTTTGGCAGGGCTTTGGCACAGGCGGTGCTGCCCTGCCCGGGGCAAGGTGGAGGCCCAAAGGGCTGGGTCCCTCCCCTCTGCTGGGTCAGGAGCCAGTCTCCCCAGCACCGGTGGACACAGCTGCACCCAACACCTTTCTAGCTTTTTTCTTGCAGTGCTCTCCCACCTCCCGTTATTCTTTCCTCTGGTGGTCACAGGCTGACTAACTGCTCCCCAGAAGCACCCTGTTTGGGCCGGTCCTCTAAGCCCGAGTCCCTCCTTTCCCTCGGTGGCGCTAAGCTCGGGGAGATGCTGTGAGAAAGGAAGCTGCAGGGCCTAATTCCAACTAAGGCATGAATGGCTCATGAGCTCGGACTCAAGGAGGCCTAGTCATAAGTTCCAAAAGGGACGCCTGTTAGTGCACATCGATCTCTGGAAGAGGGAGTGGGAGCAAGGGAAGGCGGAGAGGGAGGAAGGAATGTACTCCTTAAACTGAGGCAGTGTGGCTGCCGAACTGAGTGGAAGCTGGGCGTGGTGGTGGGCAGCAGGAGCTAGTCCTGCCTGGGAACGTGCCCTCTAGGGACAGGCTTCTGAGGGTGCAGCTTCCCTTCCTCCCTTTCTGAGTCCACGGCCTTTCTAAAGCTCCGTGCTTTTCCCAGTTCTGTTCCTGGGAGGTCTCTGGTCAAGGGATGAGGCCAGGCGGGAATGGGTGGGGTGGGGGTCCCAGACAGCTGTTGTCACATGCAAGCTGACTGCACATTGGACACCTGTAAACTCACATCAGACCTTTGTATGACCTAGAGCTTGGGAACAGAGAGAGGTCTAAGTTGTCTACGGTAAGTGCCCTCCCTGCCTATAAATTTGAAACCACTTTTATATCTACCTGGGATATAGGAAAGCTCCTTTTTTGTAAGATGCTGACTTATTTCCCCAGCCCTCCAACCCTCAACATTAGCTTTGTGAACTACAATCCATGTGACCAGTCTTTGAGGAGACAGCAAATTGAGTCCTATCACTATAGCAAAGGAGTCACTTCTGAGCAGCAGAGTTTGTTCTCCCAGCAGTGGGCAATCCAGGTCCATCTGGGACAAGTGACAATAGTATTTCTGGAGGGACAGGAAGTCATAGCCCCTAGAGTGGGATGCTACCTCCCGGCATGGATGTTGCACCTTGAAGCTGGGCGT